GCGTACCACCATGCGCAGTCTAATAAGCTGATTTTTAAAAATAGAAAATTAAAATTGATTCAGGACATCAAGGCAGTCACAATAGTGGCACTAAAGACACTCATGAAAGATGACTTGCACAACTGCTTCAGAAAGTGGCAGGGCTGGGAAACGTGTATTCAGAGTGGAGGAGAGGGCTTTGAGAGGGATTCCTTGCAATGTGTCTTTTACTGCGATAAATTTCTTTTAAATACTCACCCTATTTTTTATCACACGCTATAGAAGACTGCTGAAGCACAAGGACGGACGCTAAGTAAGAGGACTCTGGGAGCTAAAGCCTGCAGTACCAGCATCTGGGCTGCTCTCCACCAGTGACCAAGCAGGCTGCAAGGAGAAAGCCTTGGGCATGGGGCGTGCATGGTCTGGAGCAGCTCCCTGCCACTTTCTGAGGCAGTTCTGCAAGTCATCTTTCATGAGTGTCTTTAGTGCCACTATTGTGACTGCCTTGATGTCCTGAATCAATTTTAATTTTCTATTTTTAAAAATCAGCTTATTAGACTGCGCATGGTGGTACGCACCTGTAATCCCAGCTCTTGGGAGGCTGTAAACAGGCAGAAGGTGACTGGACTGTGGGTCATGAGATTCAGAGTCCACTTCCACAGCTAACTGGCTGCTGGGGGAGGCGCTCATGGGGCTGTTACCCGCGAGTGTCCCTCCCTCCCCAGCTCCTCCCTGCTCTCTGCTTGGCGGCTGCCCTGCTCAGCATAGCTTGCACCCTGGCCTTCCTATCAGGCCTTCCTGCCTTGGAGCCAGCTGACCAGGGACTGAATTCTCTGAAGCCACAGGCCCAAAGAAGCCTCTCCCACTTCCCTCTGCAGATACTGGCTACTGTGTCTTAGCACCTGGAAAGTGACTACAACAGCCTCAGCAGGAGGCACAGAGGGCCAACGAGAACCTGGGCTTCCGGGACGCTGGTGCAGCAAGCGCTGCACACCAGCTGCAGCAGGGCTGGAGGACGCACGGGCACCAGCCTCCTGACCACATGCTTCATTCTGCAGGCTTCTCCACCACACAGGACCCCAGGGTTGTCCCTGCCTCTGGGGACCAGCAGGACAGGACGAAGCTCAGACTCTCCTCGTAGACAGAGGCAAACAACTGCTGCTGCCACATGCTGGTCTTCAGCAAGGACCTCAGAGGATCAGTATGTGTGCTGTGCATGTGCATGTGTGCACCACGCACGCCAGAGATCATGCCTCGTGGAGAGGTACCTGGGAGGGAGACCACTGTCGGCACCATTCTGTTCAGTAGTTGTCATAGACATACGTGGGTCCTGAGAGCTTTAAACCAATACAGAGAAAAAGGAAACAGACTTCCAGCTGCTGGGGTAGCAGGACAGACCATGGGAGCCAGAGCACACTGCTCCGGGACTGAGGGCCATGTCCCTGGTCAGCCTCAGTGTTGGCTCAGGCCTGGCTGCAGCTTCCCAAGGTCCAAAGACACTCCAGCTGTGCCTGCACAGCAGCTCTTCTGTGACCACCAGACAAAAACATGGCTCTGTGTTCCTCAAAGACCCCTCGGCAGGGAGACGAAGTGGGAACTGCCCTCTGCCCCTGCTGAGGTTTGGGTGTCCGTGTCCCTCTGTAAGTCTCAGGTTGGCACTAGAACCCTGAGGCAGTGGTGGTGTAAGACAGGCCTTTTGGAAGCAAGAGCCCTCATGGATGCTGAGGAAATGGACAGAGCACCCGACCCACTGCGTCCCCACCTCCCGCTCTGGGGGCCCAGCAGTGCAAGCCCCACT